ATAGATAGATAGATAGATAGATAGATAGATAGATAGATAGATAGATAGGTAGATAGATAATCAGGTGCCTAATAGTATAAGTAATTTTTTGTTTTGTTACTGGGGTCAGAACTTGGAGCCTGGTACATACTAGGCAATTGCTCTAACCCTAAAACATAAGTTCTCCAAGATCCAATTGCATGATTTATATTTTTTTTTGTAGAGCTGGGAATTTAATCCGAGACCTTGTGTCGCGTCTGCCTTATCAACAATGAAAACGCAACACCGGACTCTTCTTAACTGCGGTTTATTTCAGGACCTTAAAATAATCTTCTCATCCTTTCGCTACCTCTCAAAATCTCTCGCTCCTTCTCAACCTCTTGCCCCGGGGAAAAGCCAGTCTGCAGCTTAAATAACCTCTGGGTAGCCAACCTCAAAAAGCCATGTGGGAGATGCAGATAGGTCCAGAAACGTGGAAGCAAGCCAGATCTTAGCGTTAGCCATATATGGAGTTGTTACACACCTGAGAGCATTCACCATTGGAAAGGTGGAAGGTGGGAATCAGCGCCACCTGTAAGGCATGGCATCATGCGGCTCTCTACAACCTTGCACATGTTAAGCTGGTGCTCTACCACTGAACTACATCGGTAGCAAAACTGATCGACAGGCAGGAACCAGAAGACCTTCTGGATTGTAATGATTTACACAGGCCCACTAGACTTAAAGGGTACAGGGTCTGTAGGATACCCTTTTCACCAAGGTCATGGTCATTGAAACAGGCACAGGCATCTGTCTAGCCTGTGAACTTCAGCCTACACTCACAGCTTCCAGTCTGCTCTCAGTTCCTCAGTTCCACGTACATCTCTCCTGCTGAATAGCCATTCTGGACTGCAGACTGTCCCATACAGCATGGAGACAGCTTTCCAGCGACCATGTGCCTAGGCTCCACAACTGAACAAGGCAGTTCCTTATAATGCCTCTCACTGGGTTTGCTAAATCTGATTGAACCCTGACTGACACAGTCACGAGCGAGGGAAATCTGTAATGAACACACAGACTGGAGAGTGACAAAGGAAATTTATTTAGATTAAGCAAAGCGATTGTGTGGATCAGATATTCTGCAAGTGGCAGGAGGCCCCCTGGGTTACAGTACTCAAAGGCGCCAGGTTACTTTTTGGGTACTTAATGATGTCTAGGAAGAGCTGCTTGCTAAAGGTGTAGCCAGGGTGGTTCTCTATTATTCTAGCTGAAAGACCTGAATTACATAAGCAGTTCTACTAAGCATGTCTGTTTCCCATGATGCATGTGGTTTTAATCACATATCTGATGAATAATCATAGGCATAAGATAATATATTGATTCACCCTAAAAGTTTATTTGGAGGACAGTTCACCATATTGCACATGCACCCCAAACAGCCTTACTGACCTTGCTGGCCCATCTCTCACAGGGTTTCAGGATGTGAGCCAGGACGTGTCTAAATAGAAACAGGAAGTTAGGGAGTTATCCAGGGATTACTAGAGCTGGTACATTATTTCCGCTGTTTAAGTAAGTTTGCGCACAGCCTGACGCACGTGAGGGCTCAAGTTGCAAACAGGCTGTGATATGCATCATTAGGAGAGGTTATATCTATTGCTCAAGCCAAATGAAGTTCTGGGATGCTACGCTGTTCCTATGCTTGCCTACCTCAGGAGTTGAGCAGACTTGAGAGGGAGAGGGACAAGATTGGAGTTTTAGGCTTAAGTGTAAAGAGCCTAAGGAATGCCTACATGGCCCATATGGAGATTTATAATTGATGCTGGCTTTATGGACCTGTAGCCTTGTTTGGTTTGTTTCTGATGGGACATCATATACCCCAGGCTGGCCTGAAACTCACCATGTAGCTGAAGATGACCCGGAACCCCTGGTCTTCTAGTTTCTACCTACGGAGAGATTACAGGTGTGTGTCACCATGTCCAGTGTGGACCTGAAGTTTAAAGAGGATGAACAGCAGCAGCAACAACAGATAGGGACATGGGCTCCCTCTGCAGCAGTGACAGAGACTAGGACATGGGCTCCTTCTACAGCAGTGACAGATAGGGACATGGGCTCCCTCTGCAGCAGCGACAGATAGGGACATGGGTTCCCTCTGCAGCAGTGACAGAGACTAGGACATGGGCTCCCTCTGCAGCGGCAACAGATAGGGATATGGGCTCCCTCTGTAGTAGCAGAGAGGGGACTCTAGGAAAGTTGGTGTCAGGAAGATGAGACGCTGAAAGCCTATTGGGACGAAAGGCCCACAGAAGAAAGCCTGGACCCAAAGGCAAGGAGAGATTGGATCCATAGAAAAAAATGGGTGGTCTGAGGGTGAGATGCCATAGAGAACTAGATCAAAACCAGGAATGAAGATGTATCCATTGCTTTCAGCACCCAGAAGGCACCTGGAGACAGACCTCAGAGAATGTCCAAAGCAGCAGAGAGGACAAAGACCAGATTGTAGCCAGATGGTGAATGGGAGGTCAGGCATCAAACAGGCTATGGATAGACAGGGTCTTTAAGCCCGACTGTAAGGAGGAGAGCAACACACGAGAGAGGGGACATGAGGCTGACAAAAGGCTCCAACACCAGGAAGAGACGTGTGCACATTTACACACTGCTGTGCACAGGGCTCATGTGTGGAGCACGTGGCCCCAAGCAGCTGGCACAGTTTGGGGAGGCTGTGAAGCTTCAGAAGTTGTGGGTGCATTTGAAGAGCGTACCTGGTTTCTTTCCCTGCCTCTGGATCCTGTCTGTGAAAAGGTGAGGCCGCGACTTTGAAGGAGAGTGGGGGGAAGGGCTTGAGGGGATGACTGAAAGGGAGAAATGTTATAATTAAACAATAATCTTAAAAGGTTTTAAATTATTTGTGTCTGCGTGTGTGTGTGTGGGTGTGTGTGTGTGTGTGTGTGTGTGTGTGTGTGTGTGTGTGTGCACGTGCTCATGGTGACCAGAAGGGCACATCAGGTTCTTTGGAACTAGAATCACAGGCAGTTGTGAGACACCTAACGTGAGTGCTGGGATTTGAACTCTGATCCTCTGAATAGAGCAGTCAGCGCTCTTCACTGCCGAGCCAGCCCATATTCTCTATACCCATATTCTCTATGGTATATAGAGAATTCTCTATATTCTCTATACCCATATTCTCTATGGTATATAGAGAATTCTCTATATTCTCTATACCCATATTCTCTATGGTATATAGAGAATTCTCTATATTCTCTCCAGCCCATATTCTCTATACTTTAAAAAAAAAACCCAAGAATGTAGATGTCCTAGTTAGGATGACAATTGCTGTGATGAGACACCACGACCAAAAGCAATTTGGGGAGGAAAGAGTTTATTTGGCTGACATTTCCACACCACTGATCATCATGAAGGAAGTCAGGACAGGAACTCGCACTGGGCGGGAACCTGGAGGCAGGAGCTGATGCAGAGGCCATGGAGGGGTGCTGCTTCCTGGCTTGCTCCACATGACTTGCTCAGTCGGCTTTTTTATAGAACCCAGGATCTCCAACCCAGGGATGGCCTCATCCCCCAATGGGTTGGGCCTTCCCCCTTTAGTCACTAATTAAGGAAGTGCCCCACAGGCTTGCCGCCAGCCGGATCTCATGGAGGCATTTTCTCAATTGAGGCGCCCTCCTCTCTGACTAGAGCTCTGCCGAGTGGACAAAAGACGTGCCAGCACAGTAGCATTCATAAAAAACATTTTTAAAAAGACCTTGTTCTCTAAAGGGATGGGGAGGAGTAAGGAAAATGCCCTGGGGGCAAAGCAGGGTCAAGGAAGGAGTGACTTTTGAGGACTGTCTGAAAGCATTTGCAGTAGGAAAACAGAGTGAGGCTAATAGGTAAACAGAAGGGAGTCCGAGAAGGAGAAAGCACGGTCAGAGGCTGCGCAGATGCTGTGGTCATATGGACCATATAGGACAGTGGTCCCTTCAGATTATAGCAGAAGAGGCTGGGCGGTGGTGGCGCACGCCTTTAATCCCACCACTCAAGAGGCAGAGGCAGGCAGGTCTCTGTGAGTTCAAGGCCAGTCTGGTCTACAGAATGAGCTCCAGGACAGCCCGGGCTACACAGAGAAACCCTGTCTTGAAAAAAAAAAGTTGTACAAGGAAAGTAAAATGCTAATCACTCAGTGACAAAGCAGCTGCAGCATCATAGAAACACAGCTCCCGTGCTTTGCTGTGGACGCTGAAGAGACTCCAGGGGGGCCGATCGCAGTAGACTGCCCCAGCAACAGTCCCATACTTGGCCGTTGAAAATGCTAATAAACAGGGTTAGTTTGTGAATTTAATTTACCGCACCCTGCTTTTGTCATCATTCTAGAGCTCTGCTTCTTTCGGAAGTTTACTGTCCAACAGTGTGGACGCTGCACCATCTGCCGCCACTCGCGGCTTCTGGGTGCTGTCTCTGGACTCTATCGAGAGGTCTGTCCACGTGACTGTGTGTAAGCAGCCTCTGTGATACCTACTCTATGAACCCCTTTCTTGCTCCAGTCTGGACTTGGTAGAATGGCTCTGGCAAAGAAGCGGGGGAAGAGGTGATACAAAGAAGGGCCCTTTCTGCCATCGCTGAGGTGGTAACCCAAGAAAACACTCCCAGCATTCACAAGTGCTCCGTATACTCCGTATAGTGGGCTTCAAGAAATATTTCCCTAGCCTGACCTTTAATCCAGCACTCAGGAGGCAAGCAGATCTCTGTTAGTTCAAGGCCAGCTTGTAGTGGGTGTTTGCCCTACCCATGACTATCTGACCTGATGGAGGCGGAGTGTTTTTTGCTTGTTGACATAACTCCTTTAAAAGAAAGAGGACAGTCTCTCTCTCTCTCTCTCTCTCTCTCTCTCTCGGTGGTCAGAGATCAGATCACTGCTTCCATTCACCCAGGGCAGAAAGGAAGATCCCAGAGTCTCTCTACCTTGTTATTCGTGAGTGTTTCCTAATAAACTTTTGATATCTTTTTATTGGGGCTCTCGTGGATTTACATATTTTGCCTACACCATCTGGTCTACCTAGTGAGTTACAGGGCAGCGAGGGCTACACAGAGAGACCCTGTCTCAAGGGATCTAGAAATTTGCCATTAGGAAGCTGGGAACTTCAGATGTGTGCACTGGTGCCAATTTCAACCGAGTACCTGAGCATGTTCCATGTTTTACCCATATATGTTTGTCAGAAAATATAATGCAGATAAAGACTTAATGAACAAGCACTATATTGAGTGTGCTGGCTAGCTTTATGTCAACTCGACACGAGCTAGAGTCCTTTGGGTATAGGGAATCTCAACTGAGAAAACACCCCCACCAGATTGGCTTGTGGGCAATTTTATTAATTAGTGATTAACATGAAGAGTCAGGCTCACTTTGGGTAGAGCCAGCCCTGGGCTGGTGGTCCCAGGAGATAAGAAAGCCGGCCAAGTAAGCTGTGGGGAGCTGGCAGATACACAGTGTCCCCGATCCACGCCCTCTGCATCAGTTCTACAGTTCTACCGCAGGTGCCTGTCCTGTTGAGTTACTGCCCTGACTTCAGGGACTGTAATGTAGAAGTGTAGACAAAATAACCCTTTTCCTCCTTATGTTGCTTTTGGTCACGGCGGTTTAAGGGTTTTTGGGTTTTTTTTGTTTGTTTGTTTTCTGTTTACAGAGAGAGAGAGAGAGAGAGAGAGAGAGAGAGAGAGAGAGAGAGAATATCTCTTTATGTAGTCCTGGCTGTCCTGGAACTAGCTCTGTAGACCACATTGGTCTTGAACTCACAGAGATCCACTTTATCTCATGAATAAACCCTAAAACACTTTATAAGCTATATTTCAATCTCCATATTAGAAAGCTACAGACCATGAATGTGGATGAGAATCAATGAGTGTCAGATACAGTTTTAAAACTGCGAAGGAGGAAAGAGATGAAGGAAAGAAGGAGGGAGGGAGGGAGGGAGGGAGGGAGGGAGGCAGGCTCCGACAGTGTTCTCCTCAGAACTATTACTGCTGCTAGAGGACCCGCAACTCTAATTCGGGAAGGCACAGGTGGAGGGTGTAAGCTGAGGCAGCTAAGACTTAGAGCTGCAAATACCAGACTGGGTGGCTCGCAGATAGAGCAGAGGGAGTTCTTAGTGGGTAACCCTCCATTTGTCAACTGCGCTATTCATCGGCTGAGGGCTGAGATACAGGCACGTGAGCAGGAACTTGAGAGGAGCCAACATAGATTCGCCATTGGAGGGACTGGGGAACAGTACCAAAGAGATGAAGAGAATGCTGGAAGCCTTCCTGTGGCCTCCGTATCAGAGGACACCAAGCCACTTGTGTGAGTGCATCAGAAACAGAGGGAGGAACACCCTTCAGTGAGACCCTCAGGGTGGAGAGAAAGTACAGGAAAGATTGAGAATCGTTAAATAAGTGTCATTAAGTAAGCTATGGGGACTGGAGCCCATAGACAATGGAGTTAAACCAGGAGGTGCCTAATAGATGGGATAACGTGGGGACAGGGGGACTGGCACTCACAGTGAGGCCGAGAAACAAGTCGAGCCGATCTAAATGAATGAGAGATGGACACAAGGTAGATGGGGAGAAAAAAGAGAAGTGAAGACAGAGCAGGTGGGGCAACCTTTGTTACCAGGATGAGAACATCTGCTCTGTGAGGGTGTGCCTGGGAACAGAGGGTGGCAGAAATAAAGCAGAGGTAGAATATAGACAAGAGGGCATGCAAGGTTCAGAAGTTGGTTACGGGCAGGGCAGAGCAGGTGGCTGGGTAGGAAAGGAGAGTGGCCAAGGCTACTGATGATCATGAAAGAAAACCTGAGGGTCAAAGTAACTGAAGTTGAGGACGTGAATGGCTGTTGTCTTAGTTAGGGTTTCTATTGCTGTGAAGAGACACCGTGACCATGGCAACTCTTAGAAAGAGACTATTTAAGCGGGGTGGCTGGCTTACAGTTTCGGAGGTGCAGTCCATTATCACGGAGAACACGGTGGAGCGCAGGCAGATGCAGGGCAGGAGTAGCTGAGAGTCCTACCTCTTTCAGGCAACAGGAAGTCAACTGACAGTCACACCGAGGGAAGCTTGAGCAAAAGAAACACCAAAGCCCGCCCCCACAGTGACACACTTCCTCCAATAAGATCACACCTCCTAATAGTGTCTTTCCCTTTGGGGGCCATTTTTTTTTTCCAAACCACCACAGCAGCCTCATGTCAGCATGCAAGAACATTTCCCAGCACACCCCACCAAGGCTCAGCCAGAACGTAGACTGTTTCACAAGGTGGAGGGAGAAGACTGTTGTTTTACTGGAGCTTATTTCCATAATTAAAAACATGGAGCCTTTCTAAATACAAGACCACATCTTTGAAGAACAAGAACAAAAAATAATAGAAAGGTGAATTAAAATGGACCTGACCAGCTGTTGCCTCTACACGCTGTGCCACCCAACAGGTCCAGAAAAAGGCAAGGCTTCCTGAAGAGGGAGTATGTAAGATGGTCCAGGACAATGGTTCTCAACCTTGCTACTGCTGTGACCCTTTAACACAGTTCCTCGTATTGCGGCAACCCCAACCATGAGATTATTTTCCTTGCTCCTTCATAGCTGTAATTTTGCTACAGTTATGAATCGTAATGCAAACATCTGATATGCGGGGTCTCTGATATATGACCCCTGTGAAAAGTCATTCCACCCCCAAGCCGGTCTCGACCCACAGGTTGAAAACCATTGGCATTTAAGTGGGTGCTGTTGGTGGATGGGGCAGGAGAGTGGGCAGGGCAGAGGAAGTTGCATGGAGACTGTGTCTCGGGATGCGTTCAGGGGACTCACCTGGCTGAACTATGTTAAAACAGAGAATGTGCTGGAAATGGAGAATGGATCAGATTCTGCGAGGACAAGAATGGCGGGATCAGGAGCACAGACTTTATTCGTACGTTAAAAGTTGTCAGTTATGTACTCATCAATAACGATTGTTTCGCAGCACTGAAGCTAGAACTCGGGGCCTTGCCTAAGCCGGCAGTTCTTCTGCTGTGCTATATCTGTAGCTCTAATACACTTTAATTCACATTGTTAATATATGTATAACTATTACTTAATTGTATACTTATCAATAATTTATTTGTTGTTATAGCTTGGTCCTGGCGTCTCTCAAAGGTGTGTGCTAAAGTGCCAGCTGGTACTGCTGTTAGCAGACAGTGACATCGAGGGCAGCAGTTCCCACCCTGTGGGTGACAATCCCTCTGAGGGTCAAGTGACACTTTGATAGAGATGCCTAAGACCGTCGGAAAACACAGATATTTATGCTATGACTCAAAACTGCAGCAATATCACTGTTATGAAGTAGCAATGAAAATAGTTTCATGATTGGGGTCACCACTGTCATGGGATATTTTGATCACACTCCGACACTTCGGAGAGTGCCAATAAAAAGGTTGCCTTGAATCAGAGGGCAGGCTTAGCTACTAGCTGACCAAATTGTCCATAGAGGTTCTGAAGGACCCAGGATATATAGAGACACAGGTGGTAGGGAGGGGCTTAGAGAGATGCTCGGCCCTTTTGGATTGAGGAAGGAGAGAGAGAGGAAGTCACTGGTTGCTTCTCCGATCCGTCAGGTTCTTACCCCGATATCTGACCCTCAGTTTTTATTGATAGAGAATAACTAGATAAATGTTTCACACCACAGCATGAGGAACTGTATTAAAGGGCCACAGCATTAGGAAGGTTGGGAATGACTGACTTAGAGGAGGCAGGTGTCTGTGAGGGGAACATCTCTCCCTCCGTGTCACTGCTGTCGTCTGACCCTCTGCTGGCAGTCCTTAGCATCTGGCTTGTCCACCTGCCCTCAGCCCCACATTGCCTTTAACCATGTGCACTTACCACCCCATGTAGCACACCCTCACTTTTGCCTTGTTTGACCATCTGGGCTCCGGAAGCAAGCGCCCAACTTGACACAAGACTGCCCTAGCCTATGCCCACCCATCTTTCTCCTAACCTATTCCCCCTTCTATGATTTGGGTCCATTTTGAAAAAGTGCCAAAGGCCAGCTCCAACTCTGTACTAATTTTTTTTAACACAAATCAAATTGGAACCAGCCACACATTAATTATACACTGTCCAGGCTGCCTCCAGTCAACAAGACCCAGCTAAATAGCTGAGGTAGAGACCAAGTGGCCCGTGGCCTAAAGTATTACTGGCTAGCCCTTTACAAGAACAAACCTGCTGACCCCAGCTTTAGACACACAAAATGAAGTAAACGCGTTCTTCTTCAGAAGTAGTACATGGGGGTGGGAACGTAGCGCAGCAATACAGTGCTTGCCAAAAATGTACGAAACCCAGACCTTGATACCAGCACCACACACGTGAACAAAATTCAAATAACAATGCATGAGGTTAGCAAAAGTTTAGCAAACAGAAGTAAATACGAATTGAGTAAAGCAAAACCCTCATATTCCATACTCCAGACATGATCTCTGCCAACAGTTTAGCTTTTTCTTTTCTGTTACCTAGTCATTTTGTGATACCTTCACCTTTGTACAAGTTAATTTTAGAAAATCGGGATCTCGCTCTTTTAAAATCTTCCCTTTCATCTCAATACATTGTAAATATTTTTTTCTGGATACATTTGTACTTTTTAAATTTTAAGCTTTGTTTATCTTTATTTTACGTGTCTGGGCGGTTTGCCTCCACGGTCACAGGCCTGTGTGATTGTGCCTGCAGAGGCCACCAGAGGGCGTTGGATCCCCTGGGACTGGAGTCCCAGATAACTGCAAACCTTGTAGAAGCTGGGAACTCAATCAGGGACCTCTGGAAGAGCAGCCGGTGCTCTTTTGTCACTTGTCACGGCATGCTTTTAAATTTCTGCAAGGTATTCCGTGGAACTGATACATTAGCTAGCTAGATAGCATATAAATAACTCATAAACAATTTCTATTGTTTGTAGTTTCTGTTCTTTGACGTAATACTATGACGAAGATTGTAGACATTCTTAGTTTTAGCAGGTCACATGAGAAGGCTGGAGTCATCAATGCCTGACTGAATATTATACATGCATTCACACACACATATATTAGGCATTATAGAAATCTTTACAACCCAGTACAATATGTCACCTATTCCTAGTGGTTCTTGGGTCCAGGTGTGGGAAGTAGAGCTAGAAGTGGGAAAAATAGCATATCTCAGCATAATATGTTAGGAACTGATGATTTAAATCAGGCATAGAGGGTTGTGTGGATGTGATCCCAGCACTTGGGAACTGAGGCTGGTCTATGAAGCAGGGCCTTGCCTCAAAAAAAAATAAAAATAAAAATAAAAAAATAAAAGATATTAAAAGTGTGGCATGTCACATAGGTTGATTTGATATTCTTTTTTAAATAGTAACATTTTCAAAATACATTTTACTTGTGATTACTAAAATTTGAATCCCCAAACAAATAAGTGAGTCTTTTCCTTGATTTCTGACTGATGTGGGAGGGACCCAGCCCTCTGTGAGCAGCATCACCTCTGGGCAGATGTTCCTTAGCTGTACAGGAAGCAAACTGAGCAAGCCACAAGGAGGAAGCCAGTAAGAAGCATTTCTCCATGACCACTGCCTCAGTCCCTGCCTGCAGGTTCCTTGGGTTCCTGCCCTGGTTTCCCTCCATCACTGTGATCAGGACTTGTAAACCAAATAAATCATCCAGTTCCAAGTTGCTTTTGGTCACAGTGTTGTATCACAGAAATAGAAAGCAAACGGTGACATCTTTTCAATGTATAGGTGATTGGTAGTGGTGGCACCAGTACCTGGAAATGCGTCAGATACCCAGTGGAGAATAGTCATGACTACAAGGCCACACGGAGGCAAGTGAATGGGATATACATAATACTTTAATTAAGGAAGGAGCGTTCTGCAAAATACTGAAGACAGTGTCAAGAATATATAAAATCAGTGGGTGATGCATGCCTATAAAGCCAGAATGTGGGAGGCTGGGACAGGAGGATGGAGAATTTGAATCCAGGCTGAGCTTCATCATAAGTTTCAGGTCAGCCTAAGCTAAATAGTGCCTCAAACAACAACACATAGCAAGTGAGGGGCAGCGTCTATGTGCCCTTCTGTATGCAAAGACACTGTGAGGGTGGTAGCTTTAATAGTTTCCTAATTCATCCCCCTGTTATGTGTTTGTAAGTAGGATGAAGTTATACTAAAATACATTTTCAATGATGCTAAGCCTCCAGCAAGCATTATTTATAGAAGGTAATGGGAACCTTTCTTGCTGGATTCAAGTGAGGAAGTTCTGGCGGCACTGGAGACGCCATGCTGGATTCAGGAAGACATCTGAGCTGGAGCACAGCAGTGAGATTTGTCTATGTATGATGAACGGTCATGAGAGGACAGACTTGCCAAATGGACAGCATAGATTTAAGAGAATGTCAAGAACTCAACCTTCTGAAACCACCAAATTCAAAGCAAAGAAAGAGAAAAGAGAGAAAGAAAGAGAGGGAGGGAGGGAGAGAGGGAGGGAAGGAGGGAGAGAGGGAGAGGATGAGGGAGAAAGGGAGGGAGGGAGGAAGAGGAAGGGAGATAGTGTGTGTGTGTGTGTGTGTGTGTGTGTGTGTGTGTGTGTGTGTTCTGCAAACCTACAAGGTGTCAGGAAGTTTCCATGTATACATCTGTCCTCACACTTTGACACACCTGTTTATATGAGGGCACAAAGAGAAGGAAGGCAAGCTGTGTGATCAGTTCCTGCAGGTCGGTCTGCCCGTAACGCCTCCTCGAAACTCAGGAGGTAGTTATATGGGGCAGCTAGACAGCAAAACTTTAAGGAGAGAGAGTTTGAACTAAGTCAGACGGAACGAACCAGCGTTTCCTACCGCAGCCATGGGTCCCTCTACCCACCCCAGCTTGCAAAGGCACAGTTCCCTGCCTTGTCATTTTTTCATACCGCCCCCTCAAATCCAACAGCAGGATCTGGGGCTTTGACCTTCAAGTTTGTATCACGTCTGCTGCCTGTCACTTCAGACCGGTCATGTTCATCTTTCTCCTGGAAGGGTCTGGTTATGTGTTTTCAACTTACTTTCCTTCAGGCAGTTAATAACTATTGGCATTCAGTTAATAAC